ACCAATGATGCAAGTCTGGAGATGGCCACGTAGGGCTCTGTACGCCGGCGCATCATCAATTTTTTTTGAATTCACATCCTAAGACAAGACTTCAATAAATGCTTGACTCATTTTTCTCGGCGTGGACGACTATGTTGACCAGTACAATGTAGGAGTCTAAGCTGTGAGTGTTCTCAGAACACTACAACTATCACGCCCAGTTCTATACAGGAAGAGAAGAGGCGTAAGACCAGTAGAAGTTGTTAATTGTGCACAGGCCCCGGGCCCTGCGCGCGTCTGTTTGTGGGCGTGAATGAATAAACGTAATGCGAGAGTGAGTCACTGACCGTTTGATCAACTGTTTGACCAACAGCAGTCTACGACACCTGTGATTGGCTAACCCAGAAGACAGAGGAGTGAAGTCACGTGCGCTTTGCGAGCTTGGCACTGGCGCTACAACGACGTTGCGCTTATAGTCCGTTACTTGCGATAATTTGAAAACTCTCGCACAGCCAACCTGTGTTCATGTATGCGCGATTCGAGCGTACGTTCAGTTTGGCCCGTATAATTACAGTGGTAGTTTAGGTACTGGATGTGAAACAACTCTAACAACTAGTCCAGCGGCAATGCGTTCAGTCGCTTCTGGGACGTATGCCAGAACGTGTCCTATCCTTGATAGTGTTTCTGTTTGGATCCTACGGGGCCGAACGCATTGAAATCGGCCAGCCATTCAGCATAAATTGGTCGCGGAGTTATCGGGCCCCGCGTACTTTTTCCTCCGGCCTGCTGTAATAAGTCCGAATTCAATTGGAAGAGCGTCCGCACACACATTCATCTGCGAGCCACCGGATGTTGCTGTGAAAACAGAGAAGTTGTGCGTTATTCGTTGCTGCCCTGTAAATCGTCATCTCAATTTCACTGTCAGGACTATTTTTGACGAGCTGCTGCTCTTATTCGTCTTCGTCCGTGAATTCTATATCAGGGAATTCTTGCACCAAATTCGGCTGGATAAATTTGAACAATGAAGCCGTCTCAAAAGAAAACATGACTTTGCTACGATTGAATCGCCCGACCTCGAAGGTCTTCGAGGAATTAAGAAGCTGACCGAAATGAGATAGTCGAATTACCTCGAAGAAACTTCAGTTTTTATATATCTGCGTTAAACGTAGGGCTGCCCGTTACGGCAACGATCGACGGCAGTGGGACATTGACCTTATGCATTTTTGGCACTACAAAATGCCAAGCCAGCCACTTCCATTTGGCGCCACATTTGGCGTCACATTTTTGCGCCGATCTCTCTAGGTAGTCCACTCGGCCGATCTGCTACGGTCTTGGCTTGTGATTTCTGAGCCGGGCTGTAAAATGCTCTGCCTACTCGGTCCCTCAAGATATTTGTTCGTCCCTTATTAGCGGTCAAACCAACTTCGAAGGCTCAGAATAATAAATCACAAATTCTGGTCCACGGCCAAATACCTGGAAGTCCAACCTCCCAGTCATTAAGGTCTTCTCCCGATAAGCAGCGTGAATTTAGCATGAAGTTTAAAAATGCCCATCAGAGAATTCAGAAGAGCAGTTGGCGATAAATTCTCATTGGAACGCGGTACAAGTTAAGCAGGTGATCAATAATGTTTGTCCTATACAAGTGAATCGTGGGAATAGGGGAAGGAGGGTTTAAGGGTCAATAAGAGGCGGCTGGTTAAGTGGACGTGAAGGTTTGTTGAAGGCGGACCAGGGAGAGGGGGGAGGAGATAGAGAAAGCCCGGAAAAGTGCATGCAGCATGTGCATGTGAACAGTTTACGCATGACTCAGACCATGCTACCATTACCTTTAATTAAGGATTCCCGACGGAAGTTGAAACGTCAGGAAAATAAAGCTCTTGTTCCAGTCGTCGCATCTCCTTCTTTTGAGCTATGTGAATGCTAGCCACCCGAAGCTCGGAACTTGCTGGAGGTTCTTGCGTGTGCACAAGAGCCTCTTCCTCAAATGGATAGCGGTTGCTTCTGTTGTTGCTAGCAGTCGCTGGCCCAGGGACTTGGGGTAGTTTGGTGGGACCATAAAAATCACCCGGATGGCTTCTTTGCGACCCACAGGATGTCCGGAATCCACAACTTACGCTTGAATAGCGCTGTATAGGTCCCCGGTTTCACCCTTTCTCAGCCATGCCAGATGTTCCCATATCCTTCTTGATAAGCGTCGAATCGTGCGACCAATATAACCTGCTCTACAGAACAACTAAAGGAGTAAATGCAGATGGAGGTGGTCTAATCTGGTAACCTATTGTTAAATTCCCCGCGCAAGACTTGGTTGGTTGAGAATAATATCCGAACTCTCGCTGCTGGAAAAGTTTGTGACACGGCTTGGTCAACGCGTCTTTTCAGGAATTCAGCTGTCACAGTCTTTGAACGGGGACTTTGAGGAATAGTGGTTTCTTTTCCACAGTAAGTTAGTTGGGTTTTATTTCTTTCGCGACCATATTCTTTGTAATAAATCTCTCAGGATAGCCGTTCTGCCGAAACAGGTCCTGGATTTCCCTAAGCTCCTCCTCAATACCGTCTGCCGAGCAAATGTATTCCCAGCCCCTTGTGCCAAGCAGCAGAATAGGTTTTGCTTCTGTTGGAAGGGTACGAAACTGTTAAAGTTCGTATATTGTCCAGACCAGGTTTTCTTTCGATAAACACTCCTTTCGTCCTGTCGTCAAGTCTGCGACTTAGGAGGACGTTCAAGAAAGGAAGCGAACCTGCTGTCTCCAACTCCAACGCAAATTTAATGGACAGATAGGCTTGTTTGGCAGAATTTAAGAGTGTATCTACATCGGCTGTGGCGATTGCAAATATATACTCAACGTAGCGACCATGGTGTTTTAACTCACTGATCTGATCGCTTAGTTAAAACTTCTTCACTTTGCCTATAAATACGTGAGGTAGGAGAGGTCCAAGAGGCAGGCTGCCAGACCACCTCCATGTGCATCTACTCCTTTACTTGCCCCTGTGGAGCAGGTTATATGGGCCACACGAGTCGATGCCTACCCAAAAGAATAAGGGAACACTATAATGGGCGTAAGCGCCACTGTGGGAACCCGTAATCGCTGACTCATCATGCCAAGGCTGCAGTCACGCTGACTGCCGGCACCCTGTCTGACTCGACCTACTAACACGCCCAGTCTCGGCTGTGCCCAGACTGCGGCGTAACCTCGCGCGGTCCAACTAATCACCTCCAAGGCTGCATTAAACCAGACAGCTAACGGTGGCCACTCGGATGAATGTCGCCAGACATCACTCCGCACCTAGCCCGCCTTGCGGCTGGAAGTGCGCTCCAGCAGTCAAGACTTCGTCCTAACTAATCTCCTTTCCGTCTGTACAGAGTAAAATCTTCCTATCACCCTGGCCTTTAACATGATTTCTTCCTCCTCCTAAGGAGCCGGGCCGTAAGGGTTGAACCTCATTAGCCTTAACACTCCTCGATAACACCTCCAGGCATGGCTGAGAAAAGGTGAACGCAGGATTATAAACAGCGCTATTCGCACGCACATTGTCGATTCCGGACATGGTGTGGACCCCAAATAAACCATCCGGCTGGTTTATAAGGTCACACTGGACGACCCTGGACCAGCGACTGCTAGCAACAACAGAAGGAACTGC